TGCTGCCTTACCGAAGCACAAAACTCTGGACGGGAAGTTTCGCTTTCCGCGTCTAGTTTAGCGATGAGAGAGAGAGAGAGATTTCAAAAAATGATTCCACATCATCACACAATGCAGCTGCAGATGAAGACAAGTGATAAATGTCAATCAAATGCACTTACAGTCGAAGCGTTGTCATGTGGCAAAACGATATCATGATTATCGTCGAACTCGTAGAATGTTTCCTGAAATCACCAAACAAACACGCTGCTCTAGAACAGATATGAATCCCACCTGTACTAGTGCTTGCTTTTCTTTTAGCAATTCGATGATTTCGGTTAGGTTCTCCGTCAACATCGTATCTTGTTCCAAGAGTTCTATAGTGTTGCTTATGAGATCCTGAATTGAACCACTGCAGGATGACTCAATCACGCAGCCTGAAACATTTCTCTATGAGCACAGCACTCATAAAAAGCTAACATTCGCTATTTTTGAAGAAACTTGATCTTCTTATATATAAAGCTGAATGTCTGTTTGTCTGTCTGTCTGTCTGTCTGTACGTATGTTCCGAATAGAAAATTCCATTTCTGAACCGATCCGGACCAAACTTGGCACACATACACTACGGGCCCCGGCGGGTGTCATAGGCTACTTTACGTCATCGATCGATATCGATTTTATCGCGTAATCAGCATGCTCGATTACCCCCCTGTGCCAAATCCCAGCCCCCAGCTCAAATTTTGCAAAAAATCGATAAAATCGACATCAATCGATAACGAAAAGTGGACTGTGACACCCGCCGGGGCCCGAAGTGTATATGTGCCAAGTTTGGTTCGGATCGGTTAAGAAATGTGGAATTTTCTATTCGGAACATACGGCGGAGCCGGGTATGCCAGCTAGTTACTTATAAGTAGAACTACTCACCTGCAGATTTTTGTGACCGATGACCCAAACTCGGTGGATTCCTTTTCAAGAAATAATCAGCTTCAGTGTCTCGCCAAGAAATGCACAAAATTTGACAAAATGAGGAAACGGTGATGGAGTACTCATTCAGTAATGCGCCATTATTGTTCTACTGAGCTGCTTTTCGTTCGTGTCCCTCCTACTCTTTCGTTTCCGAACCTTTCGTACGATAGCTTTAGATGGCTGCATACCGCAACTCGATGGAACTTCAGATTTAGACCCGTACTCAGACAGCGGATCGGACCCCTCCGCCGGAGAAGTGGCAGGGTCGCGGCGTATCCCCAGCGGTGGGTCTCCCATTTGTCCGGCGGAGCCCTCACATCTTCTGCTCCGGATACCCCCTATTTTCTGCTCCGGATACCCCCCATTTTCTGCTCCGGATACCCCCCATTTTCTGCTCCGGATACCTCCCATTTTCTGCACCGGAGCCCCCCGATTTTGTGCGCCGGAGCCCCCCGATCGCGGCATACTGTAATTAGCCCTAATTAAAGGCAGCTTCCAGGCAGATCTGGACCTATGGGGCTTTTACATGGAAAGTACTTTTGGGGCCCTAACTAAGGCACTGCCGAAGCAGCAGCTCAGGTAGTGCTCCAATGGCTGAGATATTCCCCTCGAAACAGACCCCCGCGAACGTATTCGCATGGATTCATGGCAGTTTCGCGCCAGGATCCACGCTTTGCGCCATGAATCCATGCGAAACACGGTCGCGGGGTCCGGTTTCGAGCAGAATATCTCAGGCGTTAGAGCACTACTTGAGCTGCCGGTTGGGTAATGGCTTAGTTAGGGCCCCAAAAGTACTTTCCACGTAAAATCCCCATAGGTCCAGACTTGCCTGGACGCTGCCTTTAAGCTCCAAACCCCAATTTTGTCTCTAACCCCACCCAAATAACCCGAATAGGACCCCCCCCCGGGTAGGAGTTTAGCGCGACCCTCACCTCGTACTCTACCCCCTCCCTCTCACCCCTAGCGTTTGTGGATAGAAGATAGAAGAAAGAACGAAGAGATAAGACATTTATTTCAAATTTTTCAAACTTTCGAAAAATCTATCTATCTATCTCCAGCATACGTACAACAGTTAATTCATATTACAAAAACCATACTAGGAGTGATAAGAATATTCAAAGAAAAACTAATTTCCTAGTTGCAAAAAGAACCTTGTAACACCACAGTATAAGCATATGGTTTTAACATGGTAAGAAAATGACAAAAAGATCAAAAAAGCATTCTGTGCAACATGAAACAAAACAGCGAGGAACGCCATAAACTCACATTTGCAAAGCAGGGACATATTGTCCAAGTGCGATATATACATGAACTATATTCATCGAAACATCTTCGAATTCCGAGGTCCAAGGCCATACTGGGGCAAAACGAAAGTAGGATGATTCAACGTAGTTGCTTGATAATAGTACTAGGACACGATGATGACATGGATTGAAATTCTTGCATATGCAACTTACCTTGAACGCCTTTTCATAGTCTCTGTTGAAATGGAAAAACCGCGCAAGAATGTAACAAGCTTCGGCCTTGATTTCGTCACTTTCCGTCACACTCATTGCATGCCACGCTAACCGTTCAACCTTGTTCATTTCCTGAAAAAGTGATGCCTTCAGATAAAGCGATAAACACCTCGATGTAACAGCTTGGACAAATTTAAAAGGTCCCTTTTATAGATAATTCGTAATTAATTCAAAGAATTTCTGCACTGACTCCTTTGAAGAAGAAGTGGTTGGCAAGATGGACCAAGACAACCGGATTCTCCGGCTCCAGACTATACGCTTGGCCTAGACAAGCCACTGCACTTTGGGCTCCCTCGACAGTATGCGTATTGTAATCCAAAATGGCAAGTGCTGAGAGAGCACAAACATTGTCATTTTGCAATTCCAACGCTCGTTCAAAAGCGATTCTGCAAATTGTAATTGAAAGTCACATAAACAGTAAAGAAGAAGCTATGTGACTCAAACATTTCACATTTACATGCTTACCTAGCCTTATCAGTCCCTAATCTCGCTAAGCAATACTGGAAGCAATGTGATGTGACTAAGCAACAGTAACAGTCACAATGCTTCAGTAACAGTCACAAAACTTCAACATCGTTTGGAGTTGCCTCCAAGACTTTTGTCAACATATCTCTTGCCTTGTCCTATCTTTCAAGCCAGAAACGATATAGTGAGGATCTGCAACGTCTGATTATAGTTAGCACCGAATATTCGTGTTCGAATAATTTATTCGAAATATTCGACTATTCGAATATTCGAATAGTCGAATATTTGAGAATGTCCATTTATTCGATTATTCGAATAGTCGAATAAATGAAAAAGACCTATATTCGAATAATTCGTTCATTCGACGATTTCGAAAAATGACTTATTCGAATATTCGTTCATTCGAGGAGTTTTAAAAAAAGGTTATTCGAATATTCGTTCATTCGAGTAGTTTTAAAGACAGTTATTCGAATATTCGAATATTCGAATATTGCATTCAAATATTCGAATAATATTTGAACATTTATTCGAAATTAGTCGAATATTCGATCAAGTTCGGTTATTCAAGTATTCGTTCATTCGAATTTTGGAATGTGCCAATATTCGAATATTCAAATTCGAATAAAATGAAAAACGAAATTCGAATAATATTCGTTCATTCGAAGAGTTTTCGAAAATCAAATATTCGATATTCATTCGTTCGAAAAATTTTCGAAGATCAATTATTCGATATTCATTCATTCGAAAAAATTTCAAAAAATGATTATTCGATATTCGTTCATTCGGCGAAAATTTCTGCTCGTTACAACTATACGTCTGATGAAAAGTCGATCGACTTGGTAAGCATACGTACGAGAGAGATAGTGTGGACCCCGGCCAGCTTCAGGTACTAGCGCGGCGCACACGCAACGCGCGCCCGACTTGAACGCTTCTCATTTCACTTACGAACAAAAAAGCATTATAACCGAAAACAGGAGTGAAATGAGATGTGGAGGCCTCTAATCCGAACACGAGAAAAGCCAAGGCAATAGGAGAACCTTCACAACTTCTACTACTAGCGCTCAGATTCCAGTCAATCTCATAGATAACTGGAATCTTCTACTATCCATCGCTAGTAGTGTATGACACTACCAGCGATGGATGATAGAAGTAACAGGAAAAGTCGAAGAACAATTCTGAAAAGTCTTCCTTCTGTTCATAAAAAAACCCAGAAAGTTTGAGCTCAAGAGCACGATTGCAAAGCTCTGATGGTGTAACAAAAGGCTAGAAGCATCTACACTCCACAAAATCAACTGCATATACACTTATTCTGAACAACCTTTGGAGAGATGTCTCTGAACTACACCGAAATCTTCACTATTGAGAAAAAAACAAGATTTTCGAAACAAATGCTTGCAAGACTGTCAAGACTCGTAAAAATCCATCACCAGCAGTTGACGTGTGTCGTTTACATCTAAAGTAGAGATTACAGAAGAGAACAAACACACTTGAAAGAGGAAATTGAAAGAAATCCCTTCAGAGCCGAAACGAAAAGCGCACTGAAGGCATGCGCTGCGGGCGCGCCGCGGAGGTACCTATGGGAACCTGGCCGGGGTCCACACTATAGCAATAAACGGATTATTTAGACGATACTTTCATCACAACAACACTAGATAGTTGCGCAACTAACCTCATTGTTTCGAAAATCCAGAATTAATCATAAAAACCACTCCATCAATAGTCTACGATGTCTCAGCAAGTCGGAAAGAGCCAAACACTGAAGGTGATTGAGTGCAACCGCACGAAAATTTCAAACATAAACCTGAAAACGAGGAACTTACAGCAACATAAACGCCAACGCGACGAAGAGCAACGCGGAAAAGGAAAAAACGGTAAAGAATCGCGCAAAAACAACAGAATCAAAGAAACGGCGACTAAAATATGGACAAAGAGCGTAAACAGAGGACTCATCACCGTGGAGTTAGACGTTTGCTTGCTACGCGCCAAATCGATACGCAGCCTGCTCCGGATACCTCCCATTTCTGCTCCGGATACCTCCCATCTTCTGCTCCGGATACCCCCCATCTTCTGCTCCGGATACCTCCCATTTTCTGCTCCGGATACCTCCCATTTTCTGCTCCGGAGGCCTCCCATTTCTGCTCCGGACCCCTCCGATTTTCTCCGGCGCGTGTCTTCCAAATTTGGCGGACACGCGCCGCGCAGACCTCTGCGGCGCGGAGTCCGTCAAATCTGGCAGAGTCGCGCCGGAGAAATGGCGGACCTTTGCAGCAGGGCCGGAGAAGCCTCCCATTTGCCTGCCAGTGATGCCACCGCGATGGACCGCCCATTTGCCCTTCTCTCATTGGTCAACTGGGTCCGGCGCGACCCTGGCAGTTTCCGAGGGTCCGGCGGAGGGGTCCGATCCGCTGTCTGAGTATGCACGTACATCCGCGGGGAAGGGAGGGGATCTGAGAAGGGATGGAACATGTCGCTACCTTTCTTCTTTCCCTAACCGGCTTATGAATGTTCTCATACCCTCAATGGCATAATAAAGTTAGGTTACTGCCATGCAAGACCAGATTTTCACTATTTTGTGCGACACCTTTGGCACCCCAGGGGACCACACAAGATGGTGAAAATCTAATCTTTGTGGCAGTAACCTGGCAATTATTAGGCGCAGATATGAAGGTATGAGAACTTTCAAGAGCAAGATGGAGAAAGAAGAAAGATATCTAGAGTAACAAGATATGTCGCATCCCCTCTTAGATTCCTCTCCTCTCCCCGCGTGCACATGGGCCTTACTATTATTTCACGCCTTGATGATTTAAACCTGTCATCGATGTTTCAAGTTACAAAGTTCCCAGGCAAGAATATTACCCCATAATAGATCGGGGAAGATTTCTCTACACATAAGCCATTAGCTTTCTATATGCTGGATTAGTATTGAGGATCAAAAAGGCTGAAAGATTCTCTCTAAATGCCAGAATGCCAGACCAGCTAAAAATCTTATCTTCTCTATGGAAAGAAAAAAAAACATTACTTAGACCATTTGCAGAATCAGCGACGTTCGCAGCTGTAGGATCAATTGCAGCACTTTTGGTTTCCACATCCCAGTCATCAAACTGTAATTACAAATGCGAACGGCAAAACTTTAAGCATACAGGCGTACCTTCTGTGCAAGCTTACGCAGCTCCATTTCCACTTTGACAAGATGGTCACACCATATCGACAACAGTGGCCTAGCTTGATTGAACTGCTCGCTGTATGAGGACAACTCTTCCATCTAGAATGGTTTATATCTTTTGTTTTATTGCGTGTGGCGGAAAGGGATCGCTAATTTAGAAAACGACTAGAGAGCACGCTCACGAGAGAGATGCAGCCTGAATAGCGACCGAAGCCCCGCCACTCCCAGTGAAATAAAGGGCAGCTCAGACATGAGCTTTGAAGGAAAAGGGAAGCTAATGCTGTCATTTATCAGTTACATACATTACGCCACAGGTGCCAAAAAAGCTAGAGCAATACGGCTCGCATACGCTTCTTCAAAAAATCATCCAATGCGCATCCTCAGGAAAAGGATCGGTGGAGTAACTAATCTAAAAATTTTTACAGATTTGGCTAAAAGGTTAGCTCATTGATCACGAATTCAAGTAGATTCGCTTGATAGCTCCATTTTTTGTGGTTACGGGGGGGGGGGGGGGATGTTGAGTGAGCCAAAATGTCACTATTTGCCTAGAACTTTGTCAAAAAGGCTTTTACTACATGCTGAGAACGAATGCGATATCAGCAGCTCCCAAGAAGAAACCTGCGAAGCTGTATCGGCTATTTGATATGCCACCCGACTTGAAACTGTATCGGGAAGTTAAAAAGTTGCCACCCGACTTGAAACTGTGTCGGGAAGTTCTCTACGTACAGCCGGTAATTACATAGCGAAGAGCCTTCTGAACCAAATGGAACACATTTTAGTTTCTGACCCAAGCGCAGACGACGGTAATCGTAGGAGAAGACACCTAGGTGGCGGAAATGCAACTTCGAAATTGAAACCAAGCACTTATTCTGAAAGTATCTTGCGAAAAAGGCCATACAATAAAGAATCGAAAACGATCTCGAATCATGTGAGATAACTTCTTCGCAGTACAGCGGAACCCATGAATGCAGATCTTTGAATTACCAGAAAAGAAGGAGACGTTCTTATGGAGCCCCAACTGTACTATGACTAGAATATAAAAAGACTCAAGCTGAAGAAGGCGCATTGTAAAACAGCCTTCCTCTCTTACTGCTGGTGGAAGTTGCAGAACACTGACGAAAACAAGTACGATTGATTTGCTAATCAAACAGTTGGTCCTGCCAAGAATGTCAACCGAGCCTTCTCAAAAATGTTGCGGTCTCTATTATTTCGCAGGAACTGAAATTGGAAATCCTGAGCTGATTGGGAGAAGGTGATGTCTACGTCTTACTTATCGCCTGACAGAGAAACAACGAGATCTGTGGCATGTAATTCGTGTGTGTAAAGTATTTCACAACCATGACTGACCCCCATGTTTTCTCTCTTAGCGCGTCGTTCCTCGCACTTTTTATTGCTGAAGTGTCACCCAGCAAGGCCTCAGAAGCAGTAAGAAGGGTTATATGAGCTGATCAACACACATGAGGTGATAGGTTATGGTCTTCTTAGCCATACATCAAAGGCAGGTCTCGGCAGAATTTCGTTTTCCAGATTTTCACTTTTTTTGGAGCCTTTTCGTCATAAGAAACTCATACCTTTTTCAGCGCATGAAAATGGCGAAAATGTATTATTCCGAAGCTTTCCAGGTCCGCATTCAGTGAAGGTACGTTGAAAAAAGCTGCGCATCGCCCCGTTGCGGGCACCTCCTATTTCCCCACTGAATGCAGACCTGGAAAGCTTCGGAAAAAGCTTATTTCCGCCATTTTCATGCGCTGAAAACCCAAGGTATGGGAGGTATGGGTTCCTTATGACGGAAAGGCTTCAAAAAGGTGAAAATCTGGAAAACGAAATTGTGCCGACATTGTCGGCACTTCCTTACAATCGTATCTTTACTCTCACCGAAGTACCGTAAAGGTCATGCCATAAGCATGACCTGCTGTGATACCATTGAGTTATCTTACTCCGCCTGTTATCGTTAGCATTCTACCACAGCACCCACATGTGCTAGTCGACTGTTCATAAAGCTCTACAGCTAATGTGTTCTGTATGACACATATAAAGGGGCGCTATTTCGCCTCAGGCTGCTATAAAGCCTAAGAACCACCGATACATTTGGTGTATCGGCCAAATAAGGCCGATACGTGCTTGCTAAAGAGCAGCACAACAACAACAACAAAAATGAGGATTTCGCCGTTCCTCAAAGATGTATTCAGAACTTCTACCAAGGAACTCGCGGATTTACTGCAGACGTACGCGTGCCACGGTGAGAACAATAATTTTCCAGACGATCAAGAGCGCCAAGAACTAAGCACCTCACATCTGGATATGCTTACAAAATGCACAGAGGAAGTGAAAGAGAGCATCGAATTGCTACAAATGGACTACGAGATATTGATGGAAAGGCTCGAGAAATTTAATCACGAGGCTGCGAAGAAGGTGATGGCGGAGGAATGGGACAAACTCGAAAAAGAGATAAGATTTTTCAAAACCATGCTGACGCTCGCATGTTTGTTCATCTTCTGCAAGCCCGTATAACATTATGCGAGATGGAGCTAAATAGGTTAACATGCAGAAGATCGTTTACCTCACGAAGCCAGAGCGCTGATATTCCGCTTGATGATCAAAACAATGATTCACCATCAGAGGTGAACTATATCAGCGGTTTTCCAGAAGAGGAATATATTGGTGACTAGATGGCAAACCCGGCTCCGCCCGGGACCAAACTTTGCACACATACACTTCGGGGCAGGGAGTAGCCTATGACACGCTCCCTGCCCCGAAGTGTATGTATACCAAGTTTGGTCCGAATCGGTTCAGAAATAAAAATTTCTATTCCGCACATACGTACAGACAGACAGACAGACAGACAGACAGACAGACATTCAGCTTTATATATAAGATGCGATGCAAAATGTCAACAGTGGAAGCGACAGTGAAAAAGATGCCAAAAACTACAAGATCGAGGCTGAAAACAGTGATGGCAATTTACAAGCTACCGCAGACTGGAGGATGACCTTAGCACAAGTCATTACATCAGGAATGCCACAGGCAAACACAGGCACTGATGTCAATGAAAAGCAACGTTCCCAGAGTTTGCAATTTCGACGCAAGATGAAGCACGACAAGAAGCGTGGTCGCGAACCTTTCCATACGTATACTCAAGTATATGCTAATCTACAGAAACGCAGTATACACCATTCTAGTTTACACTCGTCTTCCTCTCCACTTCATGACAGTCCCTCAACTCGCCGGCGCCTTATCTTTAATCGCGTCGCAGTGCAGCAACGACCTCTTCGAGATCCAGACAAACGTGTCCTCGACAACGTCCATTGCAATATTCTGACAAAGGAAGCACTTCGATGTACCTAGACGTTACATTTGTGCTCCATTTCGCTGTTCATTTCCCTCGCTGGGAGTGTGCCGACATTGTCGGCACTTCCTTACAATCGTATCTTCACTCTCACCGAAGTACCGTAAAGGGAGGACCGGCCCGCCGCCCGTCACCGTCGGCTCAGTACGCGTCGCGGCTCAAAGGCGACGCCTGCACCCGTATACTCGTTTCATTAAGCATGAGAGGATTTTGCGCAACTATTCTAAGCTACCAGACGAAAAGTGTTTTTCAAACGTTGTGTCAGTGCGTAGATTTCGTTATGGCTCCGTTTGGCGGAGCAGTTCGCCAAACACTTTGCCTCGTGTGCTTTTGTGCAGATGGTAGACGCCAAACAATTGCTTCTATCAAAACTATGGGTCAAACACTAAAATATGCCAGTAAAATATGAGCACGCCAGGAGAGACCTATGCAGTAATGATAGGCATGAGTCTACGCAGACGAAAATTTTCCTCCATTTTTGATTGTCCGCTTCTTATTATTAGAGAGGACTAGCTGGCTTACCCGGCTCCGCCGTATCCGGACCAAACTTGGCACACATACACTTCGGGCCCCGGCGGGTGTCACAGTCCACTTTTCGTTATCGATCGATGTCGATTTTACCGATTTTTATCGATTTTTTTGCAGAGTTCACCTACAGGGCTAGGAGTTGGCACAGGGGGGGGGGGGAAGTGAGCATGGGGATTCCGAATACAATATTAGTTTTCAGAATTATCGATTACTTTTATTGATTTTATCGATTTTTTGTAAATTTTTACATGCGAGGCTGGGATTTTGCACAGGGGGGTAATCGAGCATGCTGATTACGAACACAATATTAGTTTTCAGGATCGTCCATTACTTTTATCGATTTTTATCGATTTTTTTTGTAAAGTTTGACCTGCGGGGCTGGGAGTTTGCACAGGGGGGGGGTAATCGAGCATGCTGATCACCCCCCTTGGGAATGATCAGCATGCTCGATTACCCCCCTGTGCCAACTCCCAGCCCCCTAGCTCAAACTTTGCAAAAAAAATCGATAAAATCGATAAAAGTAATCGATAATCCTGAAAACCAATATTGTATTCGGAATCCCCATGCTCGATTACCCCCCTGTGCCAACTCCCAGCCCCGTAGGTGAACTCAGCAAAAAAATCGATAAAAATCGATAAAATCGATATCGAGCGATGACGAAAAGTAGCCTATGACACGCGCCGGGGCCCGTAGCGTATGTGTGCCAAGTTTGGTCCGAATCGGTTCAGAAATGGAATTTTCTATTCGGAACATACGTACAGACAGACATACATGAACATGTATAAAAGTGCAATCTGCTGCTGAGATCACGACTTTTTTTGCGCGGTCCGGATTAGACTCACTCGTACACCAAGAAGACAAGGCTTTATGGTTGGACAGGTTGGACAGATAGGATGTCAGTATGGTATGCAATTTAGAGCCAGTGACTTTGTCCACTCACATGCTCAGACAATTGCATCGGAAAGTTCGCGGCCTCAAAGCGTGCTACATGGGGCGCCGCGGCCCTTAATTTTTCAGCCGCGCACGCCGCGGCCCATGTATATTTTACCGGGAACGCCGCGGCCAAAGTTAAAATTGGATAGAGCTTATCGGGAGAGTCGCGGCCCAATCACCTCACTCAGCGTGCCGCGGCCTTATCAAAGGCCGCACTTCTTGCACGCTATAGCTTAAGGGTAGCTCCCGCAACCCGCGTGAGGTACGCCGCAGCGATGGGGCTACCCTGAGT